GGGGAGCTTAAGGGTCTTTGCCAACCTGAATGATTCTATGATTGTCATTCTATGTCCTGCAAGCAGAAGTGATACCGAACTGAGTGGGATTACAGCGATATGCGTATTAATGATTTATGCAGGAAATATGTGTCTTTGGTATGTGTGAGTCCCCAGATCCACACCAACATACTCATTAACTCCCATTTTACAAATGCTAATCAGGTCTTACACATTCTTGTGAACATTGTCCCTGGTTTAGAGAGGGAAGAAACTGGCAGAAACATTACATGGACCACGTAGGGAAGGACAGCCAGAGCTGGGATTAGAGCAAAGCAGCTTTTGAGGGCTAAATGCAGATCCAGAGTCTGCGTTTGACCTGCCTTTTCATCTTTCCCTGGCAGCGTGAAGCCTGCACTCCGCCTCGGCGCGCGGGCGCTTCCTGCCTGTACGGGGTTATCAAGGCAAGAGAAATGGCGAAGGGGTTGTGCTTGGATAGGGACCAGCTCTTCCCTTCTGCAGCACAGCTACGGGAAACCGCTGCAGGCAAACCTCGGAGCCGTCAGCCAGACCCTGGGCTCAGCCGACCTCAGCCCGCGGCGTTCGAGCAGGAAGGCGGCAGAAAGCCATCCTCGCTGTGCCGGGTCCAGCCTGGCAGGACAGAGAGATGAGGCGTTGATCTGTGAAAAGGCTCCCAACATACGCGTTTGGTTTAGAGCTCTTGGAGAAGAGTGTAATTCCAAAGTTGCCATTAGCCATGACCCTAAAAGCTTTGTATTACACAAAGGGAAAGGACTTTAAACCTATCCAGAAAGCATAATTGCAATGGGAATATCGCATCTTATCAGTAATTAACCGTTTTAAGTCCTATGACTGTTTCATCCCGTTACGTCACTACAGCTAACTATATTGCTAGTACTATAGATCCATCGCATGACAGCTTTTAGAGACAGCTGCACTTACAGCAAAAAACCTGTTTGTTTCCCAAAAAAGGAGAACAGACAGAAAAAGAATAGAACAGAACAGAACAGCGTAGCATAGGAGTAGTTCGCTTGGGAAGGGCCTACAATGATTGAGTCTGAGGTGTAATTAGTTACGGGATGGTTCACCAATAAATCATGAGGCATCTGAATATAACAGATGTTTAAACGTTCTCCAGGCAGAGCAGGTCCAGTCGAGTGCAGCGGATGCCATGGCTGTAAACATCTCAGCAACAAATGTGAGTGCACAAAACCCCACAGGAACATTTAAAACTCAAAAAGGTGACAACATGTTGGGCCTTGATTCATACTCTCTTGTGTGGGAAAATATATAGACAAAAAGTTGTACTGTCATTCACAACAGAAATAGCACAGCAGCAAACTTGATTGCGTGCTTGATTAAATGCTTGATTGCATTTAAAATACTATGAATAAATATTGACAAGATCCGGTAAAAAGAGAGAGAATCAAGGCGGGGAAAGGGTGAGAGGAGGCTTATTTGCCAATTTATTTGGGTTCGTTCCTCACTACACCGAATTTCTAATTTCATATACCCCACAGGCCATGTAAAAAACATTTATAGCATTTTCTGGCATTTTGCCCACATACATAAGAAACTATAAAATGGGAGTGACACGGATTAAACCCCATTACATTTCATAGCCTGATGAGTTCATGGTGTTACCCGCACTTCTTGACTGTGATTTCAAAAGGTCCAGCAGGCGTCCCCGAGGCGAGGTGATCTGAGCTCCATTACATTAACGGTTGGACGTGATGATCATAAAGGTCTTTTCCAACCTAAACGATTCTATGATTCCATGATTCTGCGATTCTGCTCGCTACAAAAGACAGCTTGTTCAATCCTATGGTGACGTTACAGCTCCTACTGAAAAGGGCGGGTGGTGATTGACTCAAGATAAATTATACGTTAAAATATACATTCCTGTATTTATCAATCCCTGAACAATATAACGTCTAGAGATGAGTCAAGAAGCTGCAGGAACGCTAGGTGCTGCCACACGCGAGAAAGAGTTAAAATTACCACCTCAAAAGGAAAGCTGGCAAGGAAAAGTGTTTGCTTATTCTATCCCGCTTGGTGTTTTATTGCATCCAGCATAGGACCTTGCAGACGATTCAAATTGGTATTTGCTTAGCACTAGCAATATGCTAAAACCGAATTGTTCTATAGGTATGACCGCAAGGGCCTTTCCCCAAAGAGCTCGCTAAAACGAGGCACCACATGAGGAGTGGCAAATGGACAAAACACTATGACTAAGCACGTAAAATCAGGACTGTTTTTTGATAACCATGCCATCTCCAGTTTGCCTTTTTTTTTCCTTTGGACAGTTGGAACTTGCTGTGTGGAAGAATAAAGGTTTTAAGGTTTTGATCTTGATGGCACATGGCCAAGAAAATATTAAGTTGTTTTTAGTGGCTAGAAATTTACCTTCAAATAATACTGAGCTGAAATCCAAGGCGGTGTGTCTGTAGGAAACCATGGCATCCTCGTACCAACGTGACAGTTGTGGCAGAGGTGGGATTTCTGTAGACCAGACTTCCTCTACGAGTGATTTTTCTTGTTTAAAAATACCTGTACAGCAGAAACTGCTTGTGCTTCCTTCCTGTAAGGCAGCAGCTGGAGAGTTGACTGGCAAAATTTGGCTGCAGGAACAGGATCTTATAAAACCTTTTTAAAGGGGTTTATCTCTGTCTAGCTAAGAACTCTTTAGTGGTACTCCCTTTAAGCTTGCAAGGAATGCTTGATTTGGCTGCAAATAATTTAACAAAGTTCCATAAGCATTTTAAGACAATGTTTACAGAAGACCACGGATAACCCTATGTAACAACAGCAACCGATGCACATAGAGCCCATCTCCCACTGCAGAAGATTCTTCCGTATTTGTTAAGGTCAGGACAAAATATTCTAGTAGCTTCACAAAACCTCATTCACCCAGTAATTTCTGAACTGTGCTAATGACTTGTGCTTTGGCCAGAGAATGTATGTTACAGAGATATTCAGCCTGAAGAGCAGAGGGAAAAGAAGAGGGAGAGGAGAACATAAGAAAGCACTGCGATTCTGTCTCTGAAATGCTTCAAATAATTGTATTTTTGACAATATTTTGATTAAAACACAGATTTGTAAAATCTGACATAGTTTTCTTTCCATCTGCTGGTTTGCTAAATTTTCAAGTGCCCTACTCATTGCTGCGATGGTACGGTTTAGCAACAGAAAAGTTGCTTCCTCCTCCACCAATCTTCAGTGCACTTCGGAAGGATTTTCCGGACACGGTTTTTCAAATGGCATCTTTGCCTAAAGCAAATGTCTTTTCATCACGGTTCTCCAAAGTTAGTGTGTACCCCATCATTACGTATCCTCCGATCCGTCACAATAACCTGTGCACTGAATAACGTCCCCAGTGCTCGCAGCTGAAGTTCACTTGAGAGCTCTGCAATGCATCGGGCAATACTACGCAAAGGGCACAGTACTGCCTTGAGACGGTATTGTGCTAATTACCAAACCACTGATTGCAGAGGTGATCTGCCCTAAGGATCTGTAGGATCAGACTCCCATCTTCCATCGCTGTGTTTTATTAATTCTCATAGAGTCATAGAATCGTTTGGGTTGGAAAAGACCTTTAAGGTCATTGAGTCCAACTGTATTCTCATTGCTTTATTATTGATACCCAAGTGTGCTTTTCAGGGGAGATGATAATGACAGTCATGAGAACATTAAGACCAAAAATGCATGCAAAGCGTGAGTTCAGGGTTGCTTGGTTTTGGGTTTTTTTTTTACTAACTTTCATGTGGACTTTATTATCTTTTTCTTGCATATTAAATCGATAAAGTAGACCTTGAACTGAAGGCAAAAAGGATTTCCTGAATGAGGCCAGGATGTCCTGGCCTGCAGATCTCAGACCTTTTACTCTCTGCCCTGTAGAGAGGGGAAAAAAACCCCAAACCAGCTAGGTTATATGGAAACCATGGCCACTGGAAGGAAGGGTACCTCATGGCAAGCTAAGGAAGAGCAGCAGCGTAGCAGGCGGGGAGATGGGCGATTTCAAGCGCCGGTTTTGACACATACATTCTGTACCAGCACGCTGCTTTCTTCCCATGTCCTGGACTTAACCCCGGCCCCACTTTTACTCCTGTGCTTTCCGCTGACAAACTGCAGGTGCAGGGACGATCTTTTCAAGCAGAGAGGGGTGGCCGCACACACCCGGAAGATTTACATCAACTCTCCATTTCTTTCCATTTGCTTTTTATACAGTAGGAGAGAGACTCTTGCAGAGCCTCAAGAAACCTCAGCTGCCTGTAAAGGAAACCTTCAGTACAGTTTAAGGTGACAGACAGCTGCTGGGATATGGCAGTAAGGGATGAAGCACAAGTACTGAAAGAGTCAGGGTGCCTTTATTAGCGGGTCAGCAAAGAGGGAAACTTCTCACCCTGTTTCAAGGGCGGGCAAAGAATATCATTAACTAACAGGGCTCCTTCGTTTGGTGCCTCTGTAAATCCATGGTGGTTTTTAAGGTTTGTCCTGAGCCCGTGGGAGGGATGGCTTCTAAGCCAGCTGGAATGAACATCCGGAAATGGAGCAGTCATGCTGGGAAGGTTATATTATTAATTATATTAAAGAGTGCTCTCACAACAGCGGGACATTACAGAAAAAAATGAATAGCTCATCCCTCAGACACCGTAGTAAGCAAGAAGTGGGGGTCTTCCTGCCCTGCAAACCCTCCTCCTCCCCCTGCTCGTCCCGTGCATTGGGGATTTTCCTCCCTCCCAGCCACTTGGCCTCAGCGGTGAGCAACACGCGTCATCTGGTGATGGAGCCTCTGACAGCATCTGCGGAAAAATGACGTTTCAGGGCTTGGCAGCGGAACAACCTCTGGGGACCCAGTGAGCCTGAGAGAAGGCAGTGGCTGGCCAGCAAGAAAAATATGCAGCCGTGAGAAGGATATGGCAAAATGTTAAATGATTACATATTACTGCTCCCGTTTCCTCTGTTTTCAGAAGAAATACACAATTCCTTGCAAAATGAAGTGTAACACCTGACAAACTGAAGTCACTCGCCTGTCTGAAAATGCTGTGTTTGCTTCTACCTGACTGCTTATGACTGAAGAGATAACAGAAAATACGGTACCCTTTCTTTTCAAAAAGCTTCAACACACTTTTCACAAAGCCAATTTCGCTGTTTTCTCTCATGCAAGGCAATCACGTGGAAACAGAATGCAAATAACAACCCAGGCTTTAATAAGTTAAGCTTTGAACTCAAAGGGCTGCCCAGAGCACTTGGGGAGTCCCTGAGACCGAGAGATCGGGGATGAAAAGTCCAGGTAAAGAAGAGGAAACATATACCAGCAGAGACTGCCTGTTTTAAGATGCAAACCTGAAGCTAAAGAATCAGAAACACTGGCCCAAGAACTTCAGCATTCACCACACCTGCAGCCCAAGGAAGTGAGAACTCGTAGCGTAGGATAAAATACAAAACTTCCACACGGCAGCACGAGCAATGTCTAGAACAACAGCATTTATAAGAACAGACTTTAAGGGTATCACGCAGCCTGACTGTTCACAAGTCAGGTGCTCCTACAGTTGTTAGGTATTGAGCTACTTCCAGTACACACCACTACTCAGAAACTTCTAACATTGCTCTGCCTACCCAATAAACTTTGTCTCCCTGAACATACAACACGAGCACAGGGAAGGTTGCTCAAGGTTATTTTTCCCATCCTGTACCTTCTCCCTGCTGTGTGTACCTTGGACCCACAGACACAGGAGCGGGAAGAAACTTCTGGATCCCCAAGTCCTGCCGCTTGCTGGGAAGGCCAGCCATGCCACATAGCCTTACTCATCTATTTGTCAAGCTCTGTTAAAATCAGGTCAGGCACTGGCCCTCACTGTTGCTATTGTAGGGCTTGCCTTACTCAATGGCAATTTGTGCCTTGTTTGGGTAGAAAATATTCTTCCAGCAGGGAGAGAAATACACTTACCCTCTCAATCACAGAGGGATCTTGGGGGTTGGGGTTTTTTGGCTTTTTTTTTTTTCCCCTCTCCCTTCTTCTTTACTTGTTTTTCTTTGTCACCAGGACCCTGCTCTTGTGATAACTAGAAACCTCTGTTTTATGCTTGGCTCGTTTCTACCTATTTGTTCTTGTCCAGTATTGTCTATTGGCTTAAAAAATTGCTCTCTTTTTCCCCCCATTTTTACACGAGACGCTTCTAGTAACACATCCTAAAAGAAATGCCTTTTTTTCCCCCAGAACATCACCTTTTTGACTCCTGTTCGGTTCATGAACCACTTCCCTCTCTGTTCCCCATCTCGCGTTTACCCATTCGACTGGGTCCCTTTACATGCGGCAGCTTTAACTCCCGACGTGAATCCCCTTTTAGCTGGGGCCAGCGCCTCCGCCCGCTGCCCTTCAAACCGGGCCCTTTCCCGTCCGGTTCCCTCCGAGCCCGTCCAGCTCCGGCGCAGCCCGCAGGGGGAGGCC